CATTTGGCCACCACTGACCAGCTACATAAGCTCGGCTTCGGGAGCGCCGACCCGCGCGACCACCCGCATTGGCCGACAGCTGCCCAGCGGTGCACCAGCCGCGCCGCGCGGACTGCCCAGAGAGCTGGTCCCGCCTCCCGGGCTGCGGGGACCTGGGTCAAAGGTCAGCCGCCGCTGGCGGTCGGCCGGCTCCAGGAAGGGGAAGGGTCAGAGGGTAGACGGGCCGGTCGGAGGTCAGGGGGCGTGGCGCTGTCTCGGCGGCGCGGCGGCCCCGGCAGCAGGCGAGGTCAGAGAGCGGGACTGGCTGCTGTCGGCGGGGTCGGGTGCCTGAGGCGCGGTCAGAGGGCAGGCTGGGCTCGCTGCTGGCGGCACTTCCGCCAATACCAGTGGCCAGACGCGCCGACGGAACTGGAGCGGGGGGGGGGGGGGGCGTCGGGAGCTGTGCTGAGACCCTGTCCCTCGAACGTGCCGCGGCACTTTCGGACCACGCCGGTGACGCACTTCATCTCAAGCTGGGCCTGACACTTCAGCCCGGGCGCGCACGACTCCGGAGCAGAGCGGAACAGTTGGCCCAGTACGCCGCGATTGTGGATTGGCCGGTTTGCATCGCGTCGACGTGCTGCGCCAGCGCCTGCAGCTGGCAGCTAGCACCAGCGCAGCTTCATCGAGCCTGAGAGCGAACTGGCAACGGACGGGCGAGTCGCCGCTCCGGTGCCAGGCGCGCAGGAGCGAGCCCGACGCGGCGGGCCGCCCTACGGTCTGCCCGCCTGTCGACTGACCGGTCGGCAGACACACCTCCTCCCCAGCGCAGCCTCCCCCGCCGCGGGCGCGGCTGGGCGGCGCCGGCGCGCGCTCAAGATGCGCCCCCCGCGGCCGCGGCCGTTACGCAGCGATCAAAATTCCGGCCGGCGCCGCGCCGCCGGCTGATCAATGCGAACGTGACCTCGTGCCGAGCGATTTATCACGGGCGGCGCGGCCGGCGGCGGCTATTGGGCAGAGCCCGACCGGCGGCCACGACGCTGATGAGACGCCGGCGCCGGCGCCGCCCGTCCGCCCGAAGCCTGCGCCGCCGCCGGTCCTGCTGGCGGCGCGCTCTGCCCGTCACGTGTCCAGCGCCGGTGCGGCGGCGCTGGCCGGCTGGACGCGCGCCGGCGCCGGCGACGGCACGAGCGTGCCGTTACAGCTGGGGCGGGTGGTGTCCGTGCCTCGGACGGGGCTGCCCGTTATGGTAGGAAGATGCCCGGTTCAGCGCTGTGACTGACTCGGTCGCCGCGTCTGAGGCGGCCGGCCTGCCAACGCGCCGACGGCGAGCGTAAAGTCACTGCATGCCGATGTCCGTCCACGGGATCGGCGCCGGCTGCTGCTCAACGTTTCACCAGAGTCAGCTGATTATGCGCCTTCGTTCGGCGCGATCCCGGCCGTCGCTGCCCAGCCTTGTTCGGTGCCGACGCGCCGGGCGTGTAGCTTACCCATGCGCCCAAACACGCGGCGCATGTCAGACACGGGAGCGGCTCCAAAAAGGCCGCTGTATTCGACCCCCCCCCCCCCCCCGATTTAAATATCGTCATCGATCGCTGTGGTGATGTCAGGATTAGCCCTGGTACGCTCGGTGCCGGGCTGTTTCAGCCGCCTGGCCCGGTCTTTGTTCCGCTTGTTCGATCTTGGCCCTGTTTATCGTGGTGTGGTCCGGTCTGGCGCACGCTGTACAGACGCGTCTGCCGCGGCGCGCCCGGCTGCTGGAGCCGGCGCCGGTGCGGGCCCGCCGGCTGCTCGGCAGCCTGTTTGTGAGCCGCTGCACCCCTCTGTCTGGGACGGGCGTCCAGTCAAGGTCACGCGCCGCCCTCGCCGTTGTTTTCGCCTCCGCCCTGCCCCCACCGCGGCCAGCCAGGGGACGCCCGCCTCCCCCGTCCGGTGACGGAGGGGACCGCCGGGGTCACGCACAGTCAAGGTTGTCGTGGCCTCGGGACAGGCCGAGGGGAGGGGAGCACAGGCAGGCTGCCCCGCCCCCCTCCATCGCTCCCCTTGTTTGGGGCGTTTCTGCGTTTTTCCGCGAAGGGTTCTGGGAATGGAGACAGGTGCGGTTGGCACAGTGGCACCGAGCCTCCGCAGGAAATACGCCGGTGGTGAATGTGCTTCCTGTTTCGGGGCGCGGCGGGAAGGCTGGGTTTCACCGGCGGTTTTCTAACGCTGTTGCGACAGTTCTAGAACCTCATTGGGATGCTATGGCCTAAGCGATGCATCCATCGTGATCCAGGAAAACCAAGCGTTTTGAATGGAGAGGATTGCAGGTAGACTTCTGCCCTCGATGGCGCTAAAATGGCTCCTTTGTCTATTTGACGTGGAATATCGGAATTCCGCTGGATGAGCTGGGCAGGCGTGCGGCGGCAGCTTCGTGACGCTGGCGGCGAGCTGATGATGCTATCGAGCTGGTCTAATGAGGCAGCCAGCTCTGAGTCAGGAGCCGCGAGTCCCGGCAGCTTACATCGACCACGCTGGCCGAGCTGGCTGGACCGCGCCAGCCATGCTGGTCGGAGCGCGGCGCGGCCCGTGCAGTCGGCGCCTCCAAAGCGCCAATAACAAGCCAAGGCCGCGCTAGCAGACGCTGCACTTCTGCGGTCAGCACGCGTTATCCTCGTCGACTTTGGTGGCGTTCGGTGAGCGTCAGCGGGAGCGCAGCCGGGCTCAGCCGCCGGCGCCCCGGGCCGCCGGAGGGAGCGGGCGGCCGCTGCCTCCGCCCGCAGATGGCGGATCAGAGCCGCGGCCCGTTTTGGTGGCCCAGTTCCAGGGACGGTGGCCGCCCGGCTCCGCTCCCCCGCGCGCCGGGTTCCGGTCGGGGCCCATTACGGAGACGGGGAACGGCTGGCCCCCGGCGTGCGCGTCCGCGCCGGAGATGATGGGCTGGCGTTGGGCGTCTTGGCTCAGCGTACCGCCCACGTCTGCGTGGAGCGGACAGTCGCGTCTGGGCGCGGCGGCGCGGCGGCGGCCGGCTTTGCTCAAGACTCTGCGGTGGTTTCTGAGAAACTGTCCCGCCCCGCCCCATGCTGATTGCGTATTGAAATTTTCGTAACTGCCGCCACCTGCCCTCGACGTGCTCGTCGTGGATTGCCGTCGCCACTGTGCCTGCGATGCTGTGTAGCCGTCGTATTCGACCGATGCCAGCGCGACAAGCGCTTTTCTGGAGCACAGGGGGATATCGTCCACGTCAGCCTGAAGGAAGAGCTGGCGGGAGGGCTTGTAGCACGTCATAGCAACAACCGTGCGCCCCTCGCGCGCTACCGCAGCGTCTGCGCTGCGAGCCAGAGCGGCCGCCCAGCGGCTCGTCCTCATGGGCGCGACCGCAGCGCCAGCGCTGCCCCGCTGACACGTCTCCGAGCGGCGACCGAGACCGGTCAGGGATGCAGCGGCTGGCCCTGTTGCGATACCGGCGCCGTGCTGCGCGGTCGGGGCCCGCCGCTGCGTCCGGCCGCCGGGCGGTGCGGAGCGCCGGAGCGACCTGCCGCCGGCCGGGGTCGCGCCGGGCGCCGGGCCGGGGTCTGGGGCGGCCGCAGCGGGGGTGTGCCTCCCGGATCCAGTGATGCCCTCCAGGCGACGTCCCGCCCGCGATAAGCCCTAAAGGCGGAGGGATGAGCACGGAGGGAGCCGTGCTTTTAGAGCACGAACCGCGATGAATCGCAATGATTGCCGAAATAACGTGGAGCGCATGGCATCAAGGCGTTCCAACGGCCCAGTATGGTGAGGGTAGGCTTTCAGTGACGGGTGCGAGACTGCGGCGCCCACGTCCAGAGCTGTTAGTGTCGACACACCGCGGCCGCGGCCGTCTCGGCCGTCAGGGAAGGCGGCTCAGCGGTACCGCTGGCCCGTGCCGACCGGTTTCGTCAGGCGTCGGCCGGCCTCGCTCTCCACGTGGCATCCGGCTCGGCGGCGGCGGCCGGGGCCGCGGATTAGAAGCACCATGACGGTCCGCCGCCGCCGCCGCCGCCGCCGCCGCCGCCGCCGGCCGGAGGGCAGGGGAATGGGCGGCGATAGCGCGAGGCCACGCCGTCACACAGCTGGCGCCGTCACGGACGGCCGGGCGCCGCTGCGTCATACCGCCGGACGGTGACGTCACGCCGGCGGTGGCGCGGGGTGCTGGAGCGTGCCGCGGCCGGGAGGGCTGGCTGCAGGGGTGACCGCGTGGCGGAGCGGCCCCAGCTCCTGAGTCAGCCGGCGTCATGCACAGCTAGCGGTCCGGTGCCGCCGCGGCCGGGCGAAACCGGACCCGGCGACGGCGGCGAGGCGCAGGCCCGGCCCGATCGTGCGGTCGGCCACGGCCGGCCGGCGGGCGACGGTCGGCGACGGCTGCCGCTCCCGGCCGCCGCCGCCGCAGTATCGCGTGCTCTGCTGCGGCGAGCCGGAGTGGAACCGGGCCGGCCGCCACCGTAGGGGACGCGACGCCCGCTGCGCCGGCTCGGCTCCCTGTGTGTGTGTGTGTGTGTGTGGGTGTGTGTGCCGTCGGTGGACGGTGCACCTCGGCGAGGGCGTGGACGTGGGGCGGCGGTGTCCGGTCCGGCTCCGGGGTGAGGGTTCTGCCCCACTTCCGTGGAGACGGCTCCATCGCGCTTGGACGACGTATGTGGCGCAACACTGATTCAGGGCGGGAGCTGCTGAGAAACTCAAATGGGCTTGAAATTGTTAGAAGGCAGGCATCGTCATTTAGCCGTGTGTTGTGTGTTATGATACACCGTCTGCGACAGGATCCTCCAGCCGTAACTGTCGTATCCGTCGCAGCTGTGCAGTCTTAACGCCTTGTTCATGCTGACCCTTCCCAACAACACGTCCACACGGTTCGCCCCGACCGCCCCGACCGGCCGTGCCGCGTCCCGCACTCAGCACCCGTACCCCGCACCCGTATCCGGCCCCCATATCCCGCACCGCGCCCTGTGTCCGTACCTCGTCGCTGTACCTCGCACCTGGCGTGCGTGTTGAGCGTGCGCTACAGCCTGCTGTCTGTGCTCCGCCAGGGGTCAGGGCTCGCGCTACCGCGGCCCGGGCTGGTACGGCGGCGAGCTGAGTCGGTTCGGCGGCGACGTCTACGGCGGCGAACGGTCGCCCGGCGTCGGCAAGGGGCTGGCGCGGCGCGGCTCGCCTGCCGCGCTTCAGCACGCGCGCGTCACCATCAACAACAACAACAAGACGGCCCAGCCCAAACGGTGAGGCGGGCAGCGAGCCGGGGGCCAGGGAGGTGGGGAGACGTGCGGGGGACTGGTGGAGCGCTTGTTGTGAGGTGCCTGAAGTGTTTTGCTGTTTGCGAGCGCTGTTGTGTGTTGTACGTTATGTTGGGGTGCTGTTGTGGTGTGAGGCGCTGATTACTAGCGGTGGAGCGCTTGTGTACGAGCGTGTTGTTCAACTAGACGGTCCCCGTTCGCGTTCAACGACTGGCTGAAGCAAGGTCACGCCGCCTTATTTCGTGGGATCCGCTGCCGGTGGGCGAGCGTCGACCCGTGTCGGTCAGGGAAGGGAGAGGGGAAAGCAGAGTCGCGGAGCCGGCGCGCCGCGCGCAGGACGGGAGTGGACGCCGCCGCCGTCGCCGCCGCCCGCTCCCATCATCAGCCGCCGCCCGGCCGGCCGCCGGCGGGATCGTGAGAGCCGCGCGGACCGTGCGGTCGGCGGCGGCAGCCGGCGGCGCTGTCGGCCCGCCGCCGCCGAGGCGCATGCCCGCTGTGGCCGGGCGGGGCCGGTGCGGCGCGCGGGCACGTCCCCCCCCCCCCGCGTCTGACCGGCGTCGGTCGCTCGAAGTGCAGCTCAGCTGGGCAGCTTACGAACACGAAGAATGCTCGAGTCGTGGCAAAACTGGTCGCCAGAGATGTAAATCGCTGGGTGCTTGCGCACAATACGCGCATGCTTGAGAGCGGGCTGATTGGCTGTCACGTGCCACCGCGGGATCAGGGCGGGGCGAGTGTGCTGGGCTCAGTGTCTCAGCTCTGCAGACGGCCTGGAGCGGGGTTTTATTTGCCGGAGTAGGAGGTCAAGGCTGCGTCCGGTGCAACTTAGCCATGTGAAAGCGAGCGGGCGGAAGTCGCTGGTCGGGTATTTTGGGACCATCGCGTTTCATAGCGGCCGGAATTATAGGTGCTGAGTCAGCATCCGTAGGGAGGAGGTGGAACGAGCCTAGGGGAGAGAAATTTCGAGGACGGGAAAGGTGATGTTCGTGGCCGGGGACGCGATATTCTGAGCTAGACACGCGGCGGTGGTGCGGAGGGTGGCAGCCAGTCGCCGCGTGTGGTGTGCGCCTGCTGTCCGTCGGGCTGTGCTGGTGTCGGCGGTTGTGAGACGCCATGTCGCGGGCCGACGGCTTCCGACCTACCGCGACCTGTTTCTAGCGGCCGCAGTCACGGTTTTCTGTACGATGTGTCGAAGGCTTGAGGGCCGGCTCGCGCGTATTCATTCGCCACCGCTGGCTGTTTTTCTTTTTTTAGAGCAGCAGTGCGCTGTCACAGTGAGCAGCCAACGTCCACAATTTGCGTTTGATTATGGCGACCACCTGCACTATGTCAATGCTAGTTAGTGCTGCATCCATTACGCACACCACTCGTGCGGTGGTAGTTACATCCCTTACTAGAGCTTTTTCATGAGTTCACAGTGTAACAAGGCTGGCACTCATCGGCTGGGTGACGTGATAGTGTGCAAACTGCACCCTCTGTAGGGGCTCAAAAGCTCTCCCGAATCGGACGCTCCAGTTCGAACAACGTGTTGCCGTGTAACATCTGTGCTGTCGCAGGTCCTTGTGTGTGTGTGTGCGTGCGTGCGTGCGTGCGTGCGTGCGTGCGTGCGTGCGTGCGTGCGTGCGTGCGTGCGTGTGTGTGTGTGTGTGTGTGTGTGTGTGTGTGTGTGTGTGTGTGTGTGTGTGTGTGTGTGTGTGTGTGTGTGTGTGTGTGTGTGTCGACCCAGTCGGCGCTCGTTGATCTGCCGCTGACCCCGGGGCGTGTATGGGCCGCAGGTCCGGCAGCGGCTCGGGCTCCGAGTCGCGCTCGCACTCGCGCTCGTCCAGCCGCTCACGCTCGTCGCAGTCCAGCCGCAGCTCGTCCAGCAGCAGCCGCTCGTCGCAGTCGCGCTCCGGTTCGCGCTCGAAGTCTCGCTCCCCGAGGTAAGAAAGCGTGCGCGCACGCGCCGCCATCGCCACCGCCGGCGCCGCCTGGCGCCGCCCCTGCGCCGCCTGACGCCGCCCCTGCGGAGAGGCTGCGAGCGCGGCCTGGCCGGTGAAACCTGCTGGCCGACTTACCTGGCCGGCCCGGCCAACGGTCCGCGCCGGCCGCGTGGAACAGTCGACGGCACACCACCAAAATAGCCGGAGCGGGCGTCCGCCGCGGCCGCGCCGCCCCCTGCTGCAGCCGGCCAGCGCGCCGCGTGCCACACAGTGCCGGCGGCGAGCGCGCGCGGCTCGTGCCAGGACCCGCCCGGCGCCGAGGGTCGCGCCCGCCGTCCGCCGACGGCCCGCCCGCGCCGCGCCGCGCCGTGCCGTGCCGCAGTGACCGACAGTGAACCGGACCGGCGAGTGCAACAGCGACAGTGACGAGCGCGCACGTGACACCAGTGGCGGCCGCGCGGCTGGGCGCCGCTGGCGAGTGACCTCCGGCCCGAGCGAGGCGGTGTCGTGTGACCCGGCGCGCGCCGCCGCTGCCCCGGGCCGCGCCGCGCCGCCGGCCGGGGGGCATGACCGCCCCAGGCCGGCCCTGCGTACATGAGATCCCTGCGGCGGCATGATATGGCATTTCTGCGCAGCCTGGAGCCGCCGCCGGCGACGCGGCTGCCGCGGCCGGGCCGACCGCCTGTGCGGCCCAGCCCGGAGTGTCCGTCGTCGTCGTCGCCGCCGCCCGGCCCGCCGCAACCGGGCGCCTCCAAGGGCGCTGGCGGCTTTCCGCGCTGGAAACGCTGGAGACGAAGGTGCTGCCGGCGCGTGTGCGCTGCCGGCCGACCGGCCGCTCTCGCCGCAGCGCCGTTTTTGCCCGGAGAAAGCTGGCGGGCGCGGCGGACGCGGCGGCCGCGGCCGGGGCGCGCGGCAGCTGCCGCCAGAGTGGCGCGGCGGGCGCCGGCCGCCCGGTGGCGGCAGCACCGGCCGGCCGGCGGCCATCGCTGAGGCGCGCCCGCTCTGTCGAAACCGGCCGCCGGCCGCGTCGCTTGGCCAACCGCCCGCTCCCGCCGCGCGCCGGCCGCTCTGCCCCCGCTCGCCCGCTCTCTCCGGGCCAGCCGCGCCGCGGACGGCGGCGGTTGTGAAACCGGCCGCCGCCGCCACCCCGTATGCCTGTCTGCTACTGCCGCCACCGATGCCTTTGTTTGCTCGCAGTGAGCTGGAAGTGTCACGTTTGTGCGCGTTCTGCGCCGGCCGCAGTGTTTTGCTAATGTGTACACTAGGTTTTCCCTGGCCGGCAAATGTGCAATACTTCCTCAGCCTTAGCCGCGTGTGTTGCTTGACGACGCCTCTGACGTCCTCCTTGCAGGTGGAAGTGGTGGACTAAGTGGGTTGGTTGGGCTCCGGGGATTTGTTCGTGTTACCTGTTAGCATTTTTCTGGAAGTGCTGGTCGCCGCCTTGCTCTCTTTCTGTCCGTCTCTCGTCTCTCGTCTCTCCCCGGGGATGCTCCAGTCTCTCGCAGCTGTTGCTCGTAGTCAGCAGTGTTGCGAAACGATAGAGCTACGATATCGGATGGGGCGCCTCTCGTCAGCGCTTGTCGTGCCAGCCAGACGTCAGATCCGCGATTGCTCAACTGCAGACCCGCAGCGGCCGTGCGGGGGAGATTTGTCGGGCTTGCCACTCACCCGGGGGACGGGCTCCACTGCGACACAGACTCTGGTCGCCGCACTGCGCTCTGGCTGGCGGCCGGAGCGGCAGCGCCGCCGGCCCAGCCGCCGCCCGCCGCCGGGCCGACTCCGGATTGTTCGGGCCGTGGAACGGCTGCGTAGCCGACCCACACGGCGCGGCAGAGCTGCGGGCCGACCCCGGCCCGGGCGCCAGCGTTCCGTGAAACGAGCCGGCGGGGCGGGCCGGCTGGCGGCGCGCCGGCACTGCCGGCCGGCCGGCCGGCCCCTGCTGCGCTGGTGGCCCCGGCCGCCCGCTCTGCTCTGCAGCACCGTCGCGGCACGGGCGAACGCTAGTGCCAGTTTGGAAAGGTCGGCACTCTACTATCCCGCACGGCGACCATTGTTTCCTGCATGCACGAGCCAGCACACTGGCATGGCGCTGCGCGTTTGCCAATGCTACGCGCACGGGTGTGCTGTACGGCCTTTGCGTCGCGTTTCTGATCGCGCTTAGCGCCCCCAGGATGTCTCCACCTGCGGAGGCGAGGAAGTCCTCGGGCTCGGGCGCGACACTGTTACCGGATCTTATTGGATATCGAGTTCAGCTCGTGTCCCGGGTAACGAATTTCTGGCGGAAGCCTTCGTGACTGCGCCGGGACATATGAGTTCCTGGATGAGCACTCGATCCGGCCCGACGTCAATCTGCGCGGCACCGGCGTCTGAGGCACGGGATGACCTGCCGCTCCGGGACCGCCCGCGGCCCGAGGCTCGCGGCCGCGCTCGCCGTCACAGACCGGCCTTGATGGCGGTCCACCGGAGCGTTCCGTCCGTCACATTCCGCGTTGTCGGCCGGCGGCGCGATGGCCAGATAGACTAATACAGCCGCCGGACGTCTCTCAAGATGGCCGGCCGCCGGCTCTCCTCGCTGCGTATTCATGCCGGTGACGCAGGGTGCGCGGCCCCCGACAGGCGGCGGCCGTATCTGGCCGGCGGTGGCGCGCTACCCCGCCGCGTCGCCCCCGTGCGGCCTTGTGGCCGCCGGCGCCGGCGCCAGCCGCACGCCATATGTGGCGGCGAACTTGGCTGGCTGGCTGGCTGGCTGGCTGGCTGGCTGGCTGGCTGGCTGACCGGCTCTGACCAGGCTGCCGGCTGACAGGCTTGTCACGTGCCGTTGGGGTCGCCGGTGCACTGACCTTTGGACGGGTGACGGACGAGCGCGCCGCCGGCTGAACAGGTGCGCCGACTGGACGGGCTGGACGGGACCGGACGGGGCTGGATGGGAGACGGGACTGGACGGCGACGGGCTGGGCGCCGTCTGAGCCTCGCAGGGATCCCCTGCCCAGTCGGTGAGATGCTGCGCCGCGTCAGACCATGGTTTCCTGAGACAGAGCTCCCGTCACCACAGTGCTGCCGTGTGTGCGGCCGGCCGGGGCGTCGCGCTCTGGTGATCGTCCCGGCCGCCGTCTGCCGACCGGCGCCGTCACCAGCCCACGTGGCCGCCAGCCGCTCTTTCGTCCTGTGCCGCCGGCGGCGGGCAACGTTTCCGCCGGCGTGCGCGGGGGAGCGTCTGTGTATCTGGTGCGTCTGGCGTCTGGTCGGACCGCGCCGGAGCTGCGCCGCACTGCCCGCCTGGTCCCGGCGGCGGTCTGGACCAGGCCCGGTCAGCCCTGGTCCGGTGGCGGTCTGGACCAGGCCCGGTCAGCCCCGGTCCGCCCGGCTGCTCCGGTGGCGGTCTGGACCAGGCCCAGTCAGCCCCGGTCCGCAGCGGTCCGCCCGGCTGCTCCGGTGGCGGTCTGGACCAGGCCCGGTCAGCCCCTGTCCGCCCGGCTGCTCCGGTGGCGGTCTGGACCAGGCCCGGTCAACCCCGGTCCTCGGCGGTCTGCCCGGCTGCTTCGGTGGCCGCGGCGCCGGCGGCGCGCGCCTGCGCTGTGGACCGCGGCGGTAGCCGACCCGAAGAACGGCGCGCCGCTCCAGACTGCTGCGCAAGGCGCGGCCGAGCGAGCCGCCGCACGCGGCGGCGATTCCGCTTCTGGGCTGGACTGGCCTCGCGTGACATGCTGCTGCTCGGCTGGTGCTGGTGTTCAGGCAGCGCCGGCCGCACCGCGGCGGGCGGACATCATGGAGACCCCGTCCAGCGGCCGCCGCCCCGCTCTACTAAGCCGGGCGTGCGCCGGCACCGGCGGCGAAAGCTGACACGCCGCCGCTGACGTCCTCGTGCCGCCGCTGGCCGATGTCGGCCGCACGGCCCGGCGGGGGCGGCGCGGCGCGGCACGCCCTCGTGCGGTGGTTGACCTCGCGGCTGCACGGAGCGGCGCTGAGTCAGCGGCGCCGGTGGCCGCGACTCATGCCCGGCCGCTGCCGGGGCTGACCTCGACCGGCGGCCGGCGCGCGCCTCACAACGCCGAGGTTATGTCACGGGCTGACGCCAGCCGCCGCAGCAGCGGGCGCGGCGCGCGCTCTGCAACAGTGACGTCACTGGTCCGCCTGGGCGCGGCCAGCCTGGCGCGGGCCGTGACCCGGAGCTCGCGGCGCGCCACTGACCTGTAGTCTGTCCCAGTCCAGGGTTTGGTTGGAAGATGCGACAACCTCTATGGACGATGTTGGGCTCGCCGTTTTGCACTCTCGTCGTTGCAGTCTGCATTCATAGAGCGATCGCATTTCCGCCAGTTTCGGTCTCCGTCGGGGCTTCGACGCGCGAGGGCATGTTGACTTCCGCGGCATCCCTGGTCGAGACAACTTCGACACACTGCGGACCGGGCGCTGGACGAGATGTATTCGTCTGTTGTGCCGCCGCGTCGGGTGTCATGTCATGTCATGTTATGTTGTGTCATGCCATGGGGGAAGCTACCCTCCCGGCGAAGCCTTGGGGCGCGTGCCGCGTCGTCGCGTGGCGCGCGCCCCAACGCGACGACCTGACGCCCCCAAAATGGACCTGACGCCTGGTCTGCGCTCGGACCTCTCCTGCCAGGGCGGGCGGGAGCCGGCACCGGGCAGATGATGCAGGGATGGCGGCTGGTGCGCGGCCGTCTTTCGGGGCTCGCCGGCGGGCGCCCGTGTGCTCGCCGCGCCCGGCGCGGATGAGTGCGTGGGAGCAGGCGCCGGCCGGCCCGGCAGCTGTGGCACGGCCCGTGGGAGCTGCCGGCGCCGCCGGACGCCTCTCCCTGCCGGCTGGCTGGCGGCTGGCTGCGCGCGGAGGGGCTCGGCGCCGCCGGCAGATACGGCCGCCCCGGCATTGTCCGCGCGCCGCCTGCAGCGCCTTATCTGGCGAGGCCAGCCGGCGGCGCAGGGCCACGCCGCGGACGCGGCGGAGAGCGAGACTGCGGCGGCCGCTGGCTGCAGGCCTGCCGGGAGCTGTTGTCGCGCTGCGTGGCTGCGATTCGCAGAGATAAGAGGGCCTTTGTTCCGCTGGGGTTGCCGCCGTCGCTCTGCAGCGACCCACTTGAAGGCAGCGGTTGAGTCGCGCTGCAGGCGGCCAGAGTGGAAAAGCCACTGGACAAGGCGGTGGCAGAAGGGGTGGATGGGACCAATAGCGTGGTGATTTCAACCAGTTTAAGCCCATTTTCGTCTTGAAGGGAATTTTATGTTGCTGGCGTGGTTCTAGCGTCTACTTCCAGGTGCCGACAGTCTGTGGCCGCTTGGAAGTAACAGGGAACGAGTTCACTGATGACATTCTAGAAGTTGCTGAAAGGGCAAACTTGGCCCGGTGACACTTCGTTTAATGACGAAATACTTGCTGAAAGACGTTTGCCGTGTGATATTACCCACTGCATCGTTTCAGCGAGACTAATGGCATCCACTGTCTGATTCACACAATCGATCTCCTGGCCGGCGTGAAATTCAACACAGGTGTTCGTTTCCCACGTTGGGCCGCCGCCGGCGGCCTCGCCGCGCCACGCACAGGCGTGTGGCACGCGTGCGTGTGGCGGTGGGGGTGCGTCTGTTGTCGGCCGTCTCCATGGCGCGGCCCACATCGGGCGGCGGCGGGTGCGGCGATCGATCTTTCGGGCGCGCGGCCAGCCGGCCTCCCTCCCGCCCGCCACGCCGGCACGTGTTTGTTGTCGCGACGGTCCCGTGGCGCCGCGCCACGTGCTCGTGCGCGCCGCCCGGCCGGCAGTAGCTCGTGGCGGCGCGGTCTGCCCGGCGCGGCGGCGGTGACCGGTGGGCGCACTCTCGCCGTGCTCGGTCCCCAGAGCGGCCGCCGGTGTCTGCAGGTAACGCGGCGCCGGCGGGGCTGGCGCGCCGCGCTGCTGCCCGCGCTGCGGTCAGTCCGCCGGTGTCGTCGCGCGCGGCTCTCGGCGCGGCGGTGGCGTCAGCCGACAGCCGTCTGTCGGCGGCCTGGACCGGCGTGTTGTGTCTTGTCGGTGGTCGTGATCTGAACTGGTCATGCGGCTGATCAGGTGGTGGAATGAATCGGCCGGAGTGGGGCGCTTCCCGGCTCAGGATCTGTGTACGGTGGAGTGACGGGCGCGCTTTCGCGGAGGCGGCTGGCTGTTCGGGGTGCGTCGTTCGCTCCGGAGCGTGTCAGAGGGCCTTTGATGGTGCCGCCGGTTGAGATCGGGTCCATTGTGCTGGCTGCGGTCGGCGCGGCGGGACGTGTCCCCTGCGACCGACTCCGCTCCGCTGGCGTGCCTCTGACCTTCGGTCGGATGTCAGCACGGAGCGGCATCCTGTGGCATGGAGCCGTACCTTCTGCTGCTCGGACAGGCGGTGCCTTCAACGCGTGTCGTAGAAGGGCGCTGCGTGCCTGGACGGCGGGCTCACACAGAGCTATCGTTGGAGCGCTGGGAGGAGCGGGACCTCGCAGCAGCGTTCCACGCCCGCTCAGCAGCGTTCCCTGGCGACACCAGGCTGTGCCTCATGCGCGCGTCATCCTAGGATCGATGCCGTCTGGGTGCTGAATCACGAGGCGCCAAATGTGGCTCGGGCTGGAGGACGGCGTGGGAACTGGTTAGAAGCGGGAGTGACGGATGGAACGCTTTTCGAATCGACGCTTTGCATGTGGGGCCGCCATGAGTAATTAATGCTGATACCCCGATACGACGCCGAATCCAAGTTTGTTTCTTCAAAATTGAGGTCTGCCTGTCTGTGAACCCGCAGCCCAGCCGGGAGCAGCCCGGCCGTTCACCCTACCGAGTTGTAAAAAACCGAATTAGGTCGGTTCTAAATGTCATACGGTCCGATATCTACACTTTTTCGTTCGTCGACACGGCCGACGTTGCGACAGTCGGCCTCGTCGCCGCGCTGAATACTGCTAAACGAACCAGCTCGGCCGCGACGCCGGCGCTGGGACGCGCCGTTTCGGTGGCGGCGCGCTGCGTCGGCTCCGCCGCGTCGGACCCGGACCCTGTGGCCGGCCGTCTCCGACCCAGGCTCGGTGGGCCCGGCCCCAATGGCCGGACGCCGGCGCCCCCGGTCCGTCGCGCTCGTCGAATCTGACGACTGGCCGGACACGCGCGCCGCCGGCCGCCATGCCGGGTCGCCATGGCAACGCATAATCAGCCGCTGCGGGCGGTTGTCATGGCGACGGGCGGCGGCGGCGCGTCCCGCGGCCGCCGGCCCAGCTGGTGACGCGATAGGGGCGTGACTGAGACGGCTGCAAACAAAAACAGAGCGGGGCCGGCGGCCGCGCCCCTGGCTTGTCCGGGTCGGGTGATCCGGCTGGGCCCCGCTCCATGACCGCCAGCGATCACATGTCGGGTGGCGGCGCCTTTGGATGCGCTCCACCTGGCCATGTATTTTTGGCGGGTCGTGTTGGCGCGACTCTGAAGGAAATAGCTGCTCGCGCGCCAGGGGCCGCGCGGGGCCGTCCCGGTGACGTGGGCTCAGCGGCGCGAGGGCCGACCCAAGCTACGGCCCCTGGGACGTGCAGCTGGGTCGGGATAATCGCCCGGTAATTGGGCGATCGATTTTCCGCAGCGCTGGTTATGGCCAATTTTTCCGACGCCGCTTGTTATCAGGTATTATGTCTGGCGCGTGGCGTCGTGGGCGTTCGGCCGCTGTCGTTTGTTTCCTCGAGGCTACTGAGTGTGTGCGGTCAGTGACCCCCTTCCGAGCCGGGAAACGTATTGTCCCCGATCGCATTGTCCGTGCACAATGACATGAACTGCAGGTAGAGGCTACCGTGAGAAACTGAAAGCCTCCTGTTCTGGGCTACCAAGAGTGGAATGTTGGATTTTAGCGGCTGTACGTGGGATGGGGTGGCTTGACGTGATGATGGTAATTGAGGTTTTGGGTGGCGCTGACACCTACGGCCAGTCGGTTGGCGCCATCTTGACGTGCTGAACGTTATCACTTACATTAGCGTATCGACCTGTCAAACAACGCTGTAAACGTCCAGCAGCTCCCCCCGGCGGTGACCCCGGACCGGCGGTTCGGACCGCCGCCGGCGCCGCTCCCCGGCCCGCCATCGTGAGCGATGGCCGCCGGCCGCGCAGGGGCAGCGCCAGCAGTGTGCGTGCGGCCGGGGCCGCCATCGATCCAGCGCGGCGCGGCGCGTAACGCAACGCGCCAACGTATTTTTACCGGCCGGCCGCGCGCCGCCGGCGTGGTCGATACGCGGGAGGGTGGGCGGCCGCGCCGCGCCGTGCCGCGCGGCCACCTGTGGTCCCCGCCCGTCCCCCGCCCGCTCACCGCCGTCTCTCCGCCGTCTCCCCGCCCGCTCACCGCCGTTGGCCGGCCGCTGACCGGCGCCGTGCGCCCGTTGCAGACGGAACAAGCGCGGCGGCCTGTCGTCGGCGGTGGCGGCCGTCGCGGCGTCGGCCACACAGTCGGGCAGCGTCAGCTCCGGCATCGGCTCGTCGTCGCCGCAGCCCAACGGCACGGAGGAGCGCCGGCCGATCGCCATCTGCGTCAAGAACCTGCCGGCCCGCTCCAGCGGTGAGTGCACCGGCGCGCTGGCAGCCGATGCTGCCCGCCGGTGTGGGCGGCGGCTGCTGCTCTGGAGGGTTGCGGCGGCTGGCTGGGTTAGGGTGAGCCGGTCGGGCTATGGACGGTCGGCACGGTGGGTGGTGGGCTACCGACGTGTGTGTGTGTGGGGGGGGGGGGGGACTGGGTGACGTTGCAGCTAGTGGTAGTTGCTGCGACGTATGTTGTTCGTGAGTTGTGTGGTTCGAGACGATAAGTGCGGATGTGGACTGGGTGCTGCCGAGATTATCTGCGATACATTGTCGTCGGCGGTAGCGTACGACCAGTAGGGCGTCGTAGTGTGCAGAGAGGCGTGGTATGAACTGGCAAGTAGTGTTATCAGTGACGTTCAAATGACCGCGGAGTGGCGTTCTAGTCGCCGAAAGCGCTGACGATGATTACGCCGCAGCACACGGTCCGTTTCCTCGCCGCGCTGTGAGTGAACGCCACCATATTGAGGCCCGCGGCGCGCCGGCGCAGATGGTCGCGCTGCGTTCGGGAACGCGGGATACCGGAGTCAATACTGCTGATGCGGCGGGCCGTGCCGGTCGGCCGCGGCGGACCGTGACGCGTCGTGCCGCGCGACCGCCGCCGGGAACCCCCGGCCGCCCGCCGCTGATGCCGGATAAATAGCTGCGATGCGGCCGGCACGCGTCGCTCCAGTGTGCTTGCTCGGAGGCTGCGTGCTGCTGCTGTTTGCCGACTTGGAATGGATGTCAGGCGCTAGGGGAAATCCTGCGGCGCCGTGGGAGGCGGGGCGATCCCTCGCTAATCCGGACCGGCGGCGGCGGCGGCGGGCGTCGCCCGGCGGAGCGAGCGCCGACCCGGCGGCGAGCCACGCCACGGCCGGCACCGGTGCTGAATCACCGGCTGGGGGGCGGCGCCGCCCCCGGCCCCCGCCCCCTGTTCCTCAGCCGACCGGCTGGCGGGTGGCGTGACCGGGCATTGATCAGGCGCGAGGACGTCACAGGCCGGGGGCTCGGCCGCGGCTCAGGCTCGGGCTCGCCGCGGATCTTGCTCCGGCTCCGGCTCCGGCCCCGCCGCGCCGCCGCTCCGGCTGGGCTCGGCTCGGCTCGACTGTGCCAGCCCCGAACCTCCAGCCAGCGCGGGCTCGAAGTAGGTCACTGGCCCCGGCGGCGGCGGCGGCGGCGGCGGCGCTGCCAGGGGCGGCGGCAGCTGACGCCCGGCTAAATCGAGCCTCAATCTGCGGCCGGTATGCTCACGGCCGTCCCGGCGGGCAGTCGGCGCCAAAGCCGGCCGGGCGGCTGGACTGGCGCGGGGGCGGCCGGCCGGCCTCGACGCGGCGGCGACGGCGGCGCAGGCGCGGCAGAAGGCCGTCCAGCTGGGGGGCCGGATGGCCGTGGAACACAGCCGGATGGGACTCGCCTGCAGGCGGGTGCTGGACTCGGGGCTCGGCGGTGGTCTGATGCCGATGCGGCTGTGGAAGCTCAGGCGGGGTTAGCTGCACACTGTGTAGATGCACCGCCGGCAAGAAGAGCGCCTTTATTCGAAAGGCGAGCACGTTGACTCCCCGGGCGGCCCGAGGTAGTTACGGCTGTCACATATGGGGGAAGTGTAACTGCTGACGGGCCGTGGCTGGGCGTTGTTGGCTGCTGCCCGCGTTCAGTTCGATGCATAACGGGTAACGCCCGTCGTAACGCCGGTTGCAACCCGGGAATGACACGTCACACAGTGTCGCATGGTGATGGGACCCAGCAATCGTCGGCCGCTGAGCGGTTCAAACGGTCAGGTGCTGAAGTCGAGCTCCCATTTGTCGTGGATCCGTCTGTCATCGCGTTTTGGTCTCCCTGTCCTGCTCGCCGGGACGTAAAGTGGGGTTATCACGAACACGCCGGTAAAAACGCCTGTTCAACACTTTCCCGTGGCTGGGCTGCTGCCCGTGTCTCACGTTTCCCAGACACGTTTGCCTCCGTTCCACTGTTATCGTATCGTTCCACTGTTATCGCGCCTTTTGCCTCCGTTCCACCGTTATCGCGCCTTTTGCCCCCGTTCCACTGTTATCGCGCCTTTTGCCTCCGTTCCACTGTTATCGCGCCTTTCCACGCGCGCGTTAGTCGTTTCACGTGAGATGATAATATGATAATCACGTGAAATGATAATGATAATGGTCCGTGGTGCAGGAAGCGATTCAGGGCGAGTCTAGCCTGGATACGCTCCAGTTTGCACGCTGGCGCTCTTGCCGGCAGCCGCGGCAGCACGGCATAGCCTGCGGGCGCAGCTGACAGGACGCCCCATCGTTGTGACCTCCCGGCGCGCCCTGCCGCCGCCCGCTGCGGTCGGCGGGTGACGTCGCCGTGACCGATGACGTCACCCTGGCGGGTACCGCAGCACTGCGGGCCGGGCGGGCCGCGCTCCCCGCGCTCTTCCGCCGCGCGCGCGCCGCCGCTCGCGGCGGATGGTGGCGACTCGCTTGGTAGCGTGACTGGTCGAACTCGTCATGATGCATAGCCACGCCCCAGCAGTAGATCTTGTGTGACTGTATGGGGTCTGGAAGCCCAGTCTGTTTGTCGGGGTCCGGCTTTGTTCCCAGCCCAGCGAGAGGTTGGTGCGCCTCCAACCGTAATCATGATAACGGCAATAAAAGAGAAATTAGAGCAAGAAAAAAGCGAGAAGGGAACAATAGTGAAATAATGGACTGAAGATAGCAATATCGCAAACCGGGTCATTGCCAGAAAAAAAATGATGATGGGAACCATAACACAACAACGTGAATAATGGTCTCAGTAACGCCAGCCCAGCCTGGGTCAGCCAGACGGCCGTTTGTAGAGGGGGCAGTCAGCTGCGGTGGCAGGCATGTGGTGCGTGGCGCCGGTGCGGCGGCGTCCGCTTCGTAGTGGCGGGACGCGGCCGGCCGGCGCGCGTGTGTGTAGCCCCCGGCCGGCCGGTTCCGGGTCACCGACTCGCCTCGGGGCGTGTTCGAGCTAATGAAGGCGCCGGTGGACACGTGCCGCGCCGCCGGGCGCCGTCGCCCGACCGACCTGTGGATGGTATTGATTGGCGACGGCGGCGCAGCGCTTGCGTCATGCAGGAAAAGACGGGCGCCGGGGACAGGGACGGGGACGGGGACGGGGACGGGGAGGACTCGATTGGCGTGAGGCGAGGGTCGAGGACGTCGCCGGTCCGCCGAATGTAGAGTTTTGCGTCAGCTGGCCCACGCGGACTCGGATGCGGCTTGGTGGAGGGAGGTGCGCAGGAGGCGGGCGCACGTGAAATAAACGTAGGAAATAAACCCCTTGCGTACGAACTGTGTCAACATGATTTACCTTGCCGGCATTCATAGAAGTAACCGCTGGTACGGCATCTGCCGTTATCACATGCGTGACATTTGCCCACATCTTGTTCCGAATATGATATAAATGGACATGCTCGTCAGTCGTAACGCATTCAACGACCGGGCAGTTGTTGTGTCGACACCCACTTGTAATGTGTCGACAAGATTGTTATATTCGGCTTGCGTCTGCGGTATGCACTAATCATGGGTCGGTGACTGGGCCAATGCTGGTCGCAGCTAATGGACGACCCCGACCCCGCCTACTTTTTATGACAGAACGACATGGGCTTCTGCGAGGGGGGTCGCTGCGCCACGCTACCGGCGACCTGTTTTTATGCCGCATCGTGTCCGCGAGCACGGTCCCCTGGTGTCGTCGGGGGCGACCGACTCACGCCGGCCTGTGCAGTGTGGTGTGGTGATCCCCCCCCCCCCCACACACACTCCACCCCCACCCCCACCCCGCCGCTGCGCGCGCCCTGACGCTGACCGATGCCCGTCTCGCCCGCCCGCAGACACGTCGCTGAAGGACGGCCTCTTCCACGAGTACAAGAAGCACGGCAAGGTGACAACGGTGAAGATCATCGGCCAGGGCGCCGAGCGGTACGCCATCGTCTGCTTCAAGAAGCCTGAGGACGCCGAGAAGGCGCTCAACGTGTCGCACGACAAGAGCTTCTTCGGCAGCAAGATCGAGGTCGCGCTGTACGATGGCTTCGAGGTGGACGACTCGGACCACAGGTGAGCGGCCGGCCGCCGCCGAATGGCCGCCGCCCGCCGCGCGGCTGCCGGCGGCGGGCGCGCGCGCGCTTAGCGGCCGGATGGGGCCGCGTGCGGCGCGCTCCCCTGTTGGATCGTGTCGGAGCGGTGTTGAGCGGATAGTTCAGCGGTGACGGCGCCTTGCGAAACGTGTGCCGCCGTGCTCGCTTGGCGCGAACGCATCATTCCTCACCCGGCTCATCAATTGGGCGCGCCTTTCGGCGCGTTGAGGCGCCGCACAAGGCGGTTGCCAGCGCGCGCCGCGTGGGCCGCCCTTTCACCGAGCTGGCGTGGCGCGCACGCCGTCTCCGATGGCACGGCGCCGACGGCACGCCCGTCTGCCGGCAGGCTGTTCTCCCGCCAGTACGAGACCGAGCTGGACGAGTATCACCCGAAGGCCACTCGCACGCTCTTCGTCGGCAACCTGGACAAGGACATCAAGCAGGTGGAGCTGAGGAAGGCGTTCGAGAAGTTCGGCGAGATCATCGTGAGTGGGAGACGGCGGAGGCTTGGAGCGCTCGTGGATGGCATTGTGAAGAGCGGGCACGTACGCGGTGATGATACCGCACACTCTTTAATTAGACTGAGGCGGTGGAGCGGGGAAGGGGAGGGGCCTTGCGGTGTTTTTTCTTCCTGTCGCAGCGGGTGTGGGCACGGATGCGGGGAGAAGTGAAGACGCAGCTTCTTGCTGCCGCGCGGTCGCGACCGATGCAGTTCTGCTGGGGTGAGGGGTGTCGGACAAGATGGGGCCGCCGCAGGATGGGCTTGTGGCAGGGGGACGTGGAATGCCCGCCGGCGGCTGCGTGAGACAGGGGACCAGCTGGCCGTGTTCAGGCGGCGGCGGCGGCGGCGGCGCGCGACGTGGCCGCGAGCAGGTGACGCCGGCGGCGCCGGTGCGTCCGCGCGCGAGACGCCGCCGCTGGCGACGGACGAGGCCGGCCGGCTATTTGTGACGGCGCTGACGCAACGGCCGCCGACGCCGCCGCCGCCGCCGCCGCCTCGGTTCTAATCTGGGGACAGCCTGGCTGCGCGCGCTGAACCGGTCGCAGCGGGTCGACTGCGGGGGGCGCCGGCTGCAGGTCGCGTGTGTGTCGGCTGGCACAGGGCAGGTGCGGGAGGGGTCACGGGGTGGCCAGATCTGGGGCGGAGCTGTGGTGGTCGAGGGAGCGCTCGCGAGAATGTGGGAGTGTATCCCGCGCGCTGTGCGATTTGGCTTTTGTGGCTTTTTCTGCGGTTGTTAGGCCTAGCTAGAACTTGAAACCTTGCACAAGTCAAAGTAGGCGATTGGGCAATCGGATAGACGCTTCGTTTGTCGGATAGGGCATTCGTTCGCATCAGAGCACTTGTCTGGCGGGCTGTGTTATTTTCGCCAGTGTGTGGAATAATTTCCTGAAGGTCGGCTCATTGTCAAGCTTTTCTTCCTTCGTCGCTTTTTTTACTTTGTAGCGCTCGCGACTAAGCCCGCGCACGCCTCCCGTTGCAGGAGGTGGACATCAAGAAGACGCAGTCGTCCACGCCGTTCGCCTTCCTGCAGTTTGCCGACATCGAGTCGGTGGTTAAGGCCATGCGAGCCATGGACGGAGAACACCTGGGCGGAAACGCGGTACGTGTGGCGGCGGTATAATGGCCGAACGCCGCGGGCGCGGCCCGCATTTACTACGCTGCTTATTTCGCTCTTTATCGACCGTTTAATGCATTTTTCCCCGACTGCCTCGCGTCGTCTTTCCTTCTCATTTGTTCCCTCACACGTACCCCCTCAATGCATGTTTTGTCTTTTGTATTTTCATTTGTATTTGTGCATCCCTTGTTTCTCCGCTTCCCAGTAGTGGTCCGCTCTTTCACGGATGCATATGTTCTCCCCATCTGCCCATCTCATCCTCGTGTCTTAGTTGGCGATTGAGTGGCTGGCGATTCTGTCCGCGCGTATCCCCCCGGCTGCCCCCGGCCGCTCCAGCCGCTCCGGCGTCCGACGCCGGGCGCCGAGTGGCTGCCCCGGGGCGACGCGCCGCGCACGGCCTGGTGCCCCCCCCCCCCCTCTGGCGGCGCTAATGACCTCTGGCCGGTGGGGACGCACCTCATCAGGCGCGGTCCGGCGCCAGCGCTCGCGGCCGGCCGCGAGCGGCGCGGCGCCGCTCACCGGCGACGACGCCGAGCCGCCGGCTGCGTTGGCTTCTGCCGTTACGTTCGGTAATTGCCTCCCGCTGCGACGCAACGGTCGTGGTCGGTGTCGTGAGGTGGATGTACCGCCGGCGCCGGCCGGTTGGCTCGCGTGCGCCCACGAGCGGACCGTGACGGCCGCCCGCTGCCGGCAGGTGAAGCTCGGCTTCGGCCGCTCCATGTCCACCAACTGCGTGTGGATCGACGGCGTGGCCGACGCCATCACGGACAAGTACCTGGCGCGGCAGTTCAGCAAGTTCGGCAACGTCGTCGCCTGTCACATCAACCGCGCGCGCGGCCACGCGCTCGTCACCTTCGAGACGGTGAGTGGCCGGGCCGCGGCGGCGGACCGGGCGGTAGCTGTTCGGTCCGCGGCCCCGGACGGTCGCGCTGCAGTGCGACCGGTTTTGTCGGCGACATGAACCGTCCCGTGTTGGCGGGTGTGCGGTGTTTCGGCACCGCTGCGTCGCTGGATGCGTTGCGCGCCGTGTGCACCCTCTGAGTCCCCTGTCGAGTCACCGCCAGGGCCGCTGCGCTCTGCACTGGATCGGGTGCGCGCTGTGCCTGCCCGGCAGGCGTGGCCTGTACCCTGCCCTGCCCCGGTCACCCCGGCGTGTGACGCGTCTCGCACGCCGCGCCGCGTCCGCCGCTGATGCCGCGCCGTGTCTGCCGCAGGCGTCGCCCGCTCAGGTGGCCGTGATCGAGATGCGCGGCCGCGCTCTCGGCGGCAAGCGGCTGCAGATTGACTTCGCGTCTCGCGAGTGTCAGGACGCCTTCTTCGAACACCTGAGCAAGCAGGGGCCCAAATGGGACAGGTACGCGGCCTGTCGTAACGTGGCCAGGTACGAGCCGCTGTACCCGCTGCTCCGGTGCGGGTGCGGCAGCGGGCTGCGCGCGCTGCGGCTGCGGCTGCAGCGTGCGCGACCCGGTCGCCTCGGGGGACGGCCGATGGGCCGGGCTAGGTTACGGTTGGCGTCGCTTGCTGTGCGGCCGGCTGATGTGTGCGCTTTTTACCTGCGTGCCGTCAGTCGCGTAGCTGTTTGTATGCAGAACCGTAACGGCTGTCGGCCATGCTTTCAGTCGTGTGTCATGTTGCATCGTTCTGCAGCGATGCTTACGAGCTGTCTGACAAAGAGCGCCTGAGCGGCAGTCGTCATCATGTGATGCAGTGCTAGTACGCTCCTGCCTCTATGTAACTGTTTGTCGATGTGCATCTGCTCTTTCGGCCCTGTGTGCCGGCTCATGAGCTCCGTGCGCACTGCGGGCGAGTCCGGCCGCTAACATCCGCCTCTTTTGCCACGCGCGCAGGGACCCGGGCGGCTTCCGGTTCGGCGCGCGCTTCGAGCGCGGCCGCAGCTACCGCGGCGGCCGGTACGTGCGGCGCGGTGGCCGGCCGTTCGAGTACGACGACTTCGCGCGCGACCCAGCCGCCGCCTACGACGACAGCTACGAGCAGGAGCTGCGCGAGTACTACTCGCAGCGCCACGGCGACCCCGAGTTCCGGCGCGTGCTGGAGGCGGGCGGCGCGCCGTACTCGCCGGCGCGGCGCCGCTCGGCCGACCGCAGTCCGAGCGCCAGCCGGACGGAGCGGCGCGCCCAGCTGCAGAGTGTGGTGACCGTGGGCCGGCCGGCGCGCGCCGACGACGAGCCGCGGCCGCCGCCCGGCTCCGGCGACGAGGCGGGCGAGCGGCCGGCCAAGCGGCCGCGCACGGCCGAGCCACAGGCCGAGCCCACCGACCCGCGGCCGGCCGCCGCCGCCGGCAAGCGCGCCGCCGACACCGAGCCGGGCGCCGGCAAGCCGGGCGATGTGCACGTGTCGGGCCGGCGCGGCTCGGACGTGAAGCGCGCCGACTCGCGCCGCGTGTCCGTGGACAGTGTGAAGGCGGACGAGCCCGGCGAGGAGCGCGCCACACGCGAGATTCCTCTCGAACCGGTGTCGAAGCGGCGCCGGCGGTCTGCGGATGGCGACCCGCGGACCGCCCGCGCCGCTGCCACCGCCGCTGCTGCCGCCGCTGCGCCCGCGCCACCCGCCGTCGTCGCTGCCGCCGCCGCCCCCGCCGCCGGCGCGGCCGAAGACTGACGGCCAGCCGGGCACGCCGCTCTACGACGAGGTGGAGGAGCCGGCGGTGCCGGAACCGCGCGGCCTACCCGCCGCCGCCCGCCTCCAGCCTATGGTTCTACCTCTACCCAAGTTTGCTCAGCTGTTCATGACGGCGGCGCAGGCGCAGGCGCTCACCGTCTCCTCTCCCGTGGCGACAGCGGCGGTGGCGGCGCCCGCGGCAGTGGCGGCGGCGGCGGCGGCGGCGGCGGCAGCGACGGTAGCGGCGCTCCCGGTGGCGCCGCGCGCGGCCGGCGCCGGCGCGCTAACCTCACCGCCGGCGCTCATGTCGCCGCCGCGCCGGCCGTCCGTTGAGAAGCGGCCGGAGTTAAGTACAAAAGCGGGCGGCCAGCAGTCGCCGCGCGGCTCGGACTCGTCGGAGCCGTCGCCGCTGCTGTCGCCGTCGCTCGAGGACCAGATCCGTGCGCTGGACGAGAGGTACGAGAAGTGGTCGGGCTCGTCGCGCACGATCGGCTGCACCGTGTCAAGCGAGTGCGTGGAGCGGCTGAAGCGGCGCACGCGGCTGCTGGACCTCGACCAAATCCGATCTCAGCCGTCGCCCATCATGCAGTCGCTGCTGGCCAAGCGGTCCGTGTTCGACGAGGACTCGAAGCGGCTAGAGAACTTCGGCAAGAAGTACGAGCCGAAGCCGATGGACCCGGCCGTGGCGTCCGAACTGCGCACTAAGACAGTGGTGAGCGGCACGGGCGGCATCACGGGTACGCTCAGTGGTGTGATCTCAAAGGTGTGCAGGCCGGTGTCAACGCTGGCGTCAACGCTGACGACGGCGCCGACGCCTACGGCGACGGTATGCGCCGTGCCGGCCGCCTCGCCCGCCCCCGCGCCAACGGCGACGGCGCCGACGGCGTCACCCGCGCCGCCGGCGCCGCCGGCGCCGCCGGGCTCGCCCGTGTGCGCGGCGCCGCCCGCGCCGCGACCGCAGCCGTCACCGACGCTAGCTATGCCCGTGGACGTGTCGCCGGCGGGCGCGGCCCGCACGGCGCCGCTGGCGCGGCTGTCGACGGCGCTGCCGCCGCCGACGCCCGGCCCCTACTCGCCGGTGACGCCCGTGTCCGCCTCGCTGCCGGCCAGCGCGGAACCGCCGCCGGCCGGACCGCCCGGCACGCCGCTGCGACGTCCAGAGCCGAGCGGGCGGCTGGCGCCGCGGCCGGCCGCCGCCGGCGCCACCGCCGCTGCCACCGAGCCCGGCTCGCCATCCTGGGAGCCGGAGCCGGAGCTGGCGCTAGCGCAGGCGCAGACGCAGACCCAGGAGGGTGGCGGCGGCGTGCTGGAGCCGGAGGTGCCGGCCAGCCTACCGACGCCACCCTGCTCCGTCACGGACCGCGCCAGCGTCGACAGCGTCAGCGACTGCACTGTCTCCAGCTCCACCGAGATCGGCGCGGACGACAAGAAGCTGGCTGAGTGCGCGTCGCCCAAGGGCTCGCCGCTGGCTGAGGAGGCGCCGCGGCCGGCCGAGCCGCCGGCGGCCGCCTGCGACCACTCGGCCACGCTCGGAGAGCCGCTGATCTCTAGCAGCTCATCGCTGAGCCAGCAGCCGCCGGCGGAGAAGGCTGACGATGCCAAGGAGCTGCTGAAGGACCGGCTGCTGAGCGACACCGACCTGCTGAAGGCCGTCATCAACCCCAAGACGCCGCTGGACGGGCTGAGCGTGATGGAGCAGGTGATGACTGTGAAGACGGAGCACGTGATCGCCGATGGCGTGCCAGGCAAGCTGGACGCGGGGAGCGTGATCGCGCCGCCCGAGCCGCCGGCGCTAGCCAGTGACCTGCCGCCGGCGCCGGCGCGGACAGCAAAGGTGAAACGCGAACATTCGGTGGGCGAACGGCCTCGCTCCAACAGTGTGTCGTCGCGCGGCGAGAAGAAGGACGCGTCCAGGTCGCACCGCAGCGAGCACCACCGGCGCGACAGGGCGGCCGAGCGGCCCAAGGAGCGCAGCAAGGACCGCCGCCCGAAGGAGGCCAAGGAGCCGGCGCGCGCGGCCAGCGCTGCCAAGCGTCGTCTGAGCTCGCTGGAGGAGAGCGACGGCTCGGCCGACTCGAAGCACGGCCGGCACCGGCACGAGCGGCGCGACGACTCGGCGCCCAAGAAGCCGAAGCTCGCCTCGGTCTCGTCGACCATCTCGTCGTCGAGCGTCGAGCACGACGCGACGCGGCCGGAGAAGCCGCGCGACAAGCCGACCGGCGCGTCTTCGTCGCACCGGCACGACGAGGAGAAGGCCGAGCGTGAGCCCAAGCGGCCGCACGAGGCCAAACGCGAGGAGAAGCACGAGCGCAAGGAGGACAAGTCAAAGTACAAAATACACAAGAAGGAGAACCATGCGCCCGAGGAGAGGAAGGAGGAGGTGGCGAAGGCGAGCGAGCCGCACGTGCACAAGAGCGACGCCAAGAAGACCGCCGACGCACACGACCGGAGCAAACACCGCGACAAAAACACCGAGAAGAACAGCAAGAGCAAGTCCGGCAGTCACGATCGGAGAAAGGACAAGCATACTTCCAAAGATCGATCGGAGAGGGATCGGGAAAACCCGGACAAGGTGTCGAAAGAGAGCAGGCGTCCAGAGAAGCCGTCCGTCCGGAAGGCGTCCAAGCTGGTGTACAGCTCGGACGGCGACAGCGACCACGAGGACAAGTCCCGCAAGAGCAAGGACAAAGAGCACGACAAGTCCCACTCTGTCCCGTGCAAGGAGAAAAGCCGAAGCAAAGATCAGGACAAGCGGCGAGAGAAGAGGACAGCAGAGCCGAGCAAAAGCGAGCCGACGGAGAAGAGGGAGGCGCCGAAGCTGCACATCAAGATCGAGCCTGGTCTGGAGAGCAGTAAGGAAGATCACGCCACGCGCTCTGACTCGGAGAAGCTGCACACGGGCGCGGACAAGAAGTCGCCCCACGGTGCGTCTAAGGACAAGTCAAAAACCAAGAAAAAGTCGCAACACTTCGGCAGCGACTCGGATTCGGACACGAATGACGACGAGCCGCCGAAGAAGAACATCTTCGACGTTGTTCTGGACGACGAGCCGCCGTTTTTCAGCATGTACGACAAGGTCAAGCGGCAGCGCGCCTGCCAGATCAAGAAGGCGGAGGAGCCGAAGCCGGCGTCGAAGCCCGCCGTCGACAGCGAGTCCGCGTCGAAGAAGAGCAGCCGGCCCAAGTCGCAAAGCTCATCACGACCGAAGGACAAGAAGACCTCCGGTGGCGTCCTGTCGTCAGGAAGCGACGAAAGCGACAACGACATGGAGCGTTACCATTCCAAGAAGAAGCCGTTCGACAGCTCGTCGGAGGAGGAGACGGCGCCGAAGAAGCCGACGGCCGACACGAGCAAACCGGAGGACTCACAGACGGCCAGCGCGCCCAAGCCGAGCAAGAAGAGTCGCGACTCGGACCGCGCTAGGACCTCCAAGCCCCGACTGAAGCCGAAGCCCCTGCTGTCGGACCACTCGGACGACGAGGAGGTCAAGAAGCCGGCGGCGAAGAAGAACAAGAAACTGCTCATGTCTGACATCTACAGCGACGAGAGCGACTCGTCGGGGCCGCCTGTGCTCGAGCCATCGGTGGCGGTGGCCGAGGCGGCAGCGGCGGCGGCGGCGGCAGCAGCGGCAGCGGCAGCGGCAGCGGCAGCGGCAGCGGCAGCCAAGGACGACGCCAAGGCGCACCGCAGCCGCCGTGAGCGCGACAAGCCGCGCCCCAAGCCGCGTGAGCACGCCGGCACCGACGTGGCGTCGGCCGACGACGCGGCCGTGCGGGCGCGACGCGACGCGCGCAAGGAGCCGCAGGAGCGGCGGCGCGCGCGCTCGGGTCACACCGACGAGCGGCGCCGAGACCGACGCGAAAGTCAGAAGAAGGACGAACGCATCGAGGCGATCTTCGGCCCGATGTCCGACTCGGACACGGCCGCGAGTCCGGTGCCGCCGGCGGCTGCGCCGGTCGCTGTCGAGAAGCCGGAGAAGCCGGCGGCGCCGGCGGCCGCGGTCGTCCCCGCTGCCGCCGTGCCCGCTCCGGCGCCGCCGCCGCCGGCCGCCGTCGTGCCCTCATCATCGTCCTCGCAGGGCTTCGGCGTCGGCGGCTTCAAGGGCAAGCTGCAAGTGTCAGACATCTACGACTCGGACTCGGACGGCGGCGTGCCGGTGGACCGACCGCGCACGCCGGCCCTGCCTGCCGGCAAGCCGCGCGCTGACGACCGCAAGGAGCGCCGCAAACTGAAGGAGGCGGCGCGCGCGGCTGGCAGGAAGGACGCCGGTCGGCCGTTGGCCGACGAGGCCGCTGAGACGCGTCACGTGGCGGCACCGGCCAAGAACATCGAGTCGTCGCTCAAGTCCATCTTCGGCGACTTCGAAGACATCACGTCTGACGTGCCGGCGGCGCCGGCGCTGCCGCCCGCGCCGCGGCCGGCCACGGAGCCCTCCGAGGAGAGCCGTCCGGCGGCGGCGCCGGCCGCGCGCTCGGCACCGCTGGCCGCCGCCGACGACGTGTTCCGCTTCAGCGACGAGAGCTCAGGACGCGTTCGGCCGGCCGCGCAAGGAGAAAAAGAAGAAGAAGAAGCGCGACAAGGACCGCGAGCGCAAGGACTGTGACCGGCGGCGGAGTGTCGACCTGGGCAAGGAGCTGTTCATCGACGTGCGCGGGTCGGACCACGAGCGGGCCAGTCCGCGCATCCCGAGTCCGATCAACCGGCACGGCTGCAGTCCGCGACTGGTCAGTCCGCACGAGCTCATCAGCCCCAAGACGCGCAAGTCGCCGAAACCGTGCCTGTCGCCCAAGCCGACGTATGTGTCGCCGCGCGCCGCCGCGGCCGCGGCGGCCACCGAGGAGCGGCGCAACAGCCTTGACCCGTTCGACCAGCTGCTCGAGTCTCGTTCGTTCAAGTCGCCCGGCCGGCACCCGTTTGGGCTGCCGCGTTCGCCGGCGCTGCCGAGTCCGGGTCGCACGCCGGACGGCGAGGTCAGTCTGCCGGTGCCGGTGGCGGTGGCAGCGCCGGCGCCGGCGGCGCCCGCTGTCGAGCCAGTCGTCGCTCCGGCGTCAGCGGCGCCGGTGCCCGCCGCGCCCCGGCCTGGTCAAGCAGGGGCGCCGCGGTCGCCGCCGGCGCCCGTGCCAACGCCCCTGCCGGCGCCTTTGCCGGCGCCTGTACCGGCGCCTGTACCGGCGCCTTTGTCCGCACCATTGCCCGCACCATTACCCGCATCCGTGCCCGCATCCGTCAAGCCCGCGGAGAGGCCGTCGAGCGGTGGGTCGGTGCAGGAGCCGCAGTTGGGCTCGCCGGCGGCGCAGCGGCCGGCAGAGGCTGCCGCGGCTCCTATCCCGGCGCCGGCGGTGGTAAAGCTGGAGCCGTGCGTGGCCGTGAAGCTGGAGCCGTTGGGCGGTCTGGCCGCGGCGCCCTGGCTGCCGGAAGAGCCCGCGATGACGCCGCGCGTCCAGCCGGCTCCACCGCCGCCGCCGCCGCTGACGCTGCCGACGCCGCCCACGCCGCCCACGCCGACGCCGACGCAGACGCCGACGCCGACGCAGACGCCGACGCCGACGCAGCCGCCGACGCCGACGCAGCCGCCGCCGCGTCCACCGCTGCCGCCGTCGCTGCCGCCGGTAGTACCGCCTGCGCCCGCGCTGCCGCCGGCGTCGCCGTCGGCGATAACGCCGTCGCTGAAGGCGGCGACGGTCAAGGAGGAGCCGGCGCCGGCGCCCAGCAAGGATCCGCTGGAGAAGAAGTCGCGTGCCGTCATCTCGCAGGAGGAGACAGAAGATGCAGTGGCTGCGCTGCTCGGTCAGACGTTCAACTTTGGCTACGACCCGCCGGCGGCGGAGCTGGAGCCGGAGCCGGAGGTGCTGCTGGCAGCCGACCCGGACGAGGCAGCGCAGGCGGTGCAAAGTTTGGCGGGCGTCATCGGCAGCCCGGACAAGCTGTCTCCGGCGCTGGAACCCCCCGGCACGCCGGCCGCCGAGGAGAAGTCGGAGCCGGAGCCGCCGGCGGCGGCGGTGACGGCGGCGGCGCTGGCGCTAGTGCAGCCGGTGGCCGAGTCGCCGCGCAGCGAACCCGAGCTGCAGATCGACGAGGAGGCGGCCGACGACAAGTCGCTGGCAGAGCCCGAGCCCGAGCCGGAGCCGGAGGCGGCGCCGCAGCCCCTGCCGCAGCCGCGGAATGTGCAGCAGCCCGAGCCGAAAGCGAGACCCGAGGTGCGGCCGGCGGCGCCTGTGGTAGAGCCAGTAGCAGAGCCCGAGATCGCGCCGGGGGTGAAGGTCGTGCCGAAGGCGGAGCTCAAGACCAAGGCGCTGCCGGCGCCGGATCCGGAGCCAAAGCCGGGGCCGGAACCAAAGCTGGAACTAAAGCCGGAGCCGGACGTGGAGCCTGTGCCTGTGTCTGTGCCTGTACCTGTGCCCGCACCTGTGCCCGCGCCCGCTCCCGCGCCTGCGCCCGCGCCTGCGCCTTCGCCTGCGCCTGCGCCTGCGCCTGCGCCTGTGCTCAGCGCTCAGCTGCGGCCTGTACCGGAGCCTACGGCCGTCGCCATCCCGGTGCCTGGGGCCCAGCCCCAGCCTCAGATTCAGCCTCAGATTCAGCGTCAGCTCCAGTCTCAGTCTCAGCCCCAGTCTCAGCCTCAACCTCAGCCTCAGCCTCAGCCTCAGCCTCAGCCTCAACCTCAACCTCAACCTCAACCTCAGTCCAAGTCTCAGCTTCAATCTCAGCCTCAGCCTCAGCCTCAGCCCCAGTCTCACTCACAGCCTCAGCCTCAACCTCAGCTCAAGCCTCAGCTTCAGCCCCAGCCCCAGCTCCAGCCCCAGCTCCAGCCCCAGCCCCAGCCCCAGCTCCAGCCGCACCTCAACCTCAACCCCAACCACCCCAACCCCAACCCCAACCCCAACCCCAGCCTCAACCGAAGGCGGTTGAAGCTCAGACAAGGCCCACTGAGCCTGTGCCGAAGGTGGAGCCGGAGCCTGCGTCGACGCTGGTGGCATCAAGTCCGACCCCGGCGCCGGCCGTCACCCCCGTGATCGTCAAGTCGCCGGTGGCGACGACAGCGGCCGCCGCTGCCGCTGTCGCTGTGCCGGCGGCCCCGACCTCGCCCGCGCCGAAACCTCCCGCGCCGTCAGTGCCAGCCAAGGCGGAACCGGCGGTATCCCCAGCCGCCGAGCCCGCCGAGAAGACGGCCGCTCCCGTGGTGGAGGCCAAGCCACCAGCGCGTGCTGCCCGCGTGCGAGCGCCCCGGCCGAGCCGTGCCAAGGCAGCCGTGGCGGCGGCCGCCGCAGCCGCTGCGGCTGCAGCGGCCGCGGCGGCGACGGAGTCGGCGCCGGAACAGCCGGCAGCCGCCACCCCAGCGGCGGCTGCACACGCAGCCAGACCCAACAACCGACGGCCGCCGCGCGCCGCAAAGGGCAAGGCGGCGGCTGCCGCGGCCGCCGCGGCTGCTGTTGCCGTCGCCGAGAAGGAGGAGGCGAAGGAAGAGGTGGCAGCACTGCCAGCGTTGTCCCCGCCGCCGGCGGCGCCGGTGCCGACGGCACAGCCATCGCTGCCGCCGCCGCCGCCACCACCGCCGCCAGCAGATACCAAGAAGCCACGCAGTCGCGCCGCGCCCAGCTCCAGCTCGCGCAGTCGAAAGCGCGGCGCGGCGCAGAAGGCGGGCGGTGCCAGCGACGTCTACGAGTTCCACGACTCGGGCGACGACGATGGCGGCAGAAAGGCGGGTGCCAAGGTGGCCGCCGAGGAGAAGAAGCGCTCCAGCATCGACGAGACGATCGAGGACGTGGTGCAGGGTCGCTTCGGCGACCCGAAAGACTGGGAAGCGGACGTGGAGGAGAAGAAGCCAACGCCGGAGCCGGCGACGGCGTCCGAGCCGACCACGCCCACCGCGCCAGCGGAGGCGGCCGAGCCGGCGGCGCCGCCGCAGGAGCAGCAGGCGTTGCTGGACCCGGTCACCGGCCTGATGGTGCCGTTGAAGGAGGAAGACAGCGCCGACGAGCCGGCGCGCAGCACGCCACCGGCGTCGGCCACGACGCTGCATTCGACTGTCCCCGCCCCAGCGGCAGCGGCCGCGACGACGACGGCCGCGCCGCCGCGTCCGACGCAGCCGACGGCGGCTGTCCTCCACCCGCTGTGCCAGGCGCCGGCGCCGCGGCCGGGAGTGCCCGCCACCTACCTGCACGCCCGGCCGCCTCTCCTGACTGCGACGCCGGCAGCCGCGCTGCCAGGCGCGCTGTACGCGCCGCGGCTGGCCGCGCCCTCGCCAGGAGCCCCGCCCACCACCACCGCCGCGTACCTGGGCAAGGCGGCGCCGGCGCCGGTCAGCTACGCGACCACCACGGCCGCGCCGGCCGCCTTCCTAGCCAGCAAGCCGGGCTTGTCGACCCCGAGCGTGTCCGTGTTCCCAGTGAAGACGCCCACCGCCGCCGGCAGCCCGAGCGCGCTGCCGGCCAAGTCGACCGCGGGCGGCGGTGGGCCGGCGCTGTTCGCGACCAAGGCTGCCGCCAGCGCGGCCGTGTCGGTGTTGTACCCGGCCATGTCGGCGACGTCAGCCGCCGCCAGCACGGCCGTGCTCACCGTGAAGCCGGTGGTGAGCTCCGGCGGCGCAGGCACTTGCGCGCCGAAGCCTCCCGTCAGTGCGGCCGCCGCCGCGCCGTTCGCGACGAAGGTGGCGGCGAGCGTGACGGCCGCGTATCCTGCCAAGCCACCGGTCGTCTCAGCACCGGCGCCGGCCGCGTTCGCCGCCAAGGCGGTGGCCAGCGTGGCCGGGCCCGCCGCGTTCGCCGCGAAGCAGCCGGCGGTGACGGCGTCGGCGTCGGCACCGGCGATGTTCGTCGCGAAGGCGGCGGTGAGCGCGGCGACGCCGGCGCTGTACGCGGCCAAGCCGACCGTGACGTCTGCATCGCCGGCGCTGTACTCAGCCAAGGCGGCGCCGACCACGGCCGGCCCGGCGCCGCTGGCGGTGACCAAGCCGGCGGCTGCGCCGGCCGCGGCTGCAGCGGCCGCCGCCGGGTACCTAGGCAAGCCGACGGTGACGCCGGCGACGCGGCCGTCGGTGGTGGAGAGCCCGCGGCCGCGACCGGCCGCCGTCAGCCTGACAGTGGAGCCGCGCCGGCTCGGCGCTCTGCCCGCCGACCAGCCCATCTCGTACAAGGTGAGCCCTCGCAGGGGTGACGGCACTGGCCTCGTGGGTCCTGTGTGCGGCGTCGCGCCTGTTGTGGCGATGGTGTTCCGTTTCTGCCTTGGCTCAGGTGATTTGCTGTCGTGATTTTGTGTGCCCATTAGTCGCCAATGCACGTTATGGAATCGGACGCGAAGAAAACTGAAATTCCGCCAATGCAACTTGAGCGGTCTTCAGTGCAGTCGGCAGCCCTCGCAGCTTTTCACCGGGTTTGTGTCGCTGTTGCGGTGCTCAGCCATAGCAGCGCCGCGCTTGACGCCGTGCTTCTGCTCCGGCAGCTGGGTCCATCGACGTCGTCGGCGGCGGCGGGGGCGCTTCCGCCGGCGCACCTGTCGACGGCCGGGCAGCAGACGCCGGTGTCGCTGACGACGCGAGACGCGGCGCCGTCGGAGCCGCCGGCCGAGCCGCCGCGTGTGGAGGTGTCGGGCCGCGCCTCGGTGGGCGCCGTCAGCACACCCAGCCCGGCCAGCCAGGGCCGCCACAGCGTGCCGTCGCCGGCGCCGCGGCCCTTCGACCCGGCCGCCATGGTGGGTGAACGCCGGCGGAAGAGGAAGAGGTTTTTTTTGGCCGGTGTCGGCCGCCCATGGCGCGGAAGCGTGGTGGCACGCCCGCAGGCTTGCAGGCCGATGGGTAGGCGTGCTGTGGTCTTGGTGGCTGTGGCGGCCGCTCAGTCCGTTGTTTCTCGTTGGTCATGCTCTGACGTGGCGCGTGGCGGCGCTCTGTCGTCCGCGGCGGACCCCCGGGTCGATGCGGCGTGCGTGTGCGGTGTGTCGCGGGAGGACCGAGGTGCGCCTGGTCGCCTGACCTGATCTGACCTGACCTGACCTGACCTGACCTGACATGACCCGTCGGCAGCACCCGGTGCGGCACGGCGTGATCCAGGAGCTGCAGAAGAGCTACCCGGACGAGACGGGCCGCGGCTCGCCGCACACCCCGCCGCCGGCCCACCAGCGGGTCGTCTCCCAGGTGCGGCCTCCGCCCGCCCCTTCTCCCCCGTCCTTTGGGAGGAGGGAAGAGTCAGGTGTCATGTGGCGCATCAGGCGGGTCTTCTTTTTACTGAAATAATTGGCTTCTACAAACTAGGCTGTTAACAAGTTGCGCCGACCTGTCCGCCCGGTCTCCCCGAAAGCCGCCTGTAACACCAGCTATCATCGTTGTCATCCACCGCAGTGTAAGCAGAATGACGCTCGTCGCCCGCCGGCGGCGCCCACACGCGTCCGTCCGTCCGTTCGTTGCTCTGTTGGTGACGTTCGTGGCGCTCTGTGCCCGCAGAGCGACATGCTGCGCCGCGCCGGCAGCCTCGTGCTGCCGCCTCACCTGGCGTCGTCCGCCTCGCCGGCCGAATTGCCGCCCCACTACATGCACCAGCTGTACCCGTACTACATGCAGTTCCACGAGATGGCTCTGCAACGCGCCGCCGGCCTACAGCACCCGGGCTACGCGCCGCCGCTGCCGCTCAAGGAGAAGCTCAAAGCGGCCGACGAGGAGGAGCGGCCGCCGACGGCCGGCGCCGAGCCGTACGCCACCGGCGGCCGCTGGCACCCGGCCTACCACGAGCAGGCGGCGGCGGCGGCGGCGCCGCTCCGGCTCGAGTCGCCTTGCAGCCGCGACATCGTCGAGCTGCAGAGGTGGGTGGCGCGAGGGCGCGCTGCGCCGCTAGCAAGCTGGCCGGGGTGAGGGGGTTTGCGATGCGATGATGCGGCTCTGCTGTGCGGTTGGTCTTCGCGGCACGCGTGTGAGTGGAGTTGGGACGCGTGGACGTATGTGTGGGGGGGGGGGAGGGGTGACGCTCTGGAGCCCTGTTTCTGTGTCGCCCGTCGCCGCCCTGTTTCCAAGGTCGTGGCTCCCCCGTGAGTCCGCCGCCGCAGCTGTCGCCTGACCGGCCGCTTCGCTCGCCGCCGCCAGGTACCGGTCGGTGTGGGCCGGCCAGCTGGAGCTGAAGAGCGACCGCGCGCTGGTGCAGTTCCGGCTGGTGTCGGGCAGCCGGTTGGTGGCCGACGCCTCGCTGCCGACCGCCGAGCCGCGCGTCCTGCACATCCCCAAGCGCATGCGGCTCGAGTGGGCCCAGCTGGACGGCGTCGCACGCAAAATGGAGGTCAGTCGGCACCGGTCGTTGCTGGTCGGCTGTCGGGAAGGTTGTGCGCCGGAGGTTTGCAGATGTGTGAGCACGACAGTGACGTATCGTCGCGCTGGCTGTGGCGCGCCTTGTGGCTAGGCTGGCGTGTCCGGCGGGTAGCTTCGGTCACCGGGATTAGGGGGAGGCGCCCTGTTGGGAGAGTCGACGTGATACTCGTGTCACCTTGCGCCCCGTCTCCCCGACCCCTCGTCCCTGATCGCGGTCCTCGTCCCCAACCCGGTCCCTCGTCCCCGACCCCAGTCCCCGGTCCCGATCCCGGTCCCTGGACCCCGCTCCCGGTCCCCGAACTTTGGCCCGCGAGTGCAAGTCTGTGCGGGGCTTGTGCCTGACGCCATCGCCGCGGCCGCTGACAGAACGAGGACGAGTACTGCATGCTGCTGGCGCTGCCGGCCATCCCGGAGGGCGGCAGCCAGGCGGAGGAGCTGGCGCAACGCTCCACCCTGCGCACGGCCTTCATCACGTACCTGCAGCTGAAACAGGCGGCCGGCATCATCAACATCGATGGTCCGCAGGTACGGCGGCGCGACAGAGCGGGCTGGGCGGCCGCGCCCGCACGCCTGCCGAGGAAGGCCTGTCGGCTGATGACCTGGCTGGTGTATTGTTGATGGGCTTGTCTCTGTAAACTGACGGCATCATGTTCGAATCGCGAGAAGACTTATACGGACGGATCAAACGCGGATGCCGGGCGGGATGGGTGTTCATGTGCGGGTCCCGACACACGGTCTTTTGCTCTGCCTAGTCACGCATCGTTCTACATATGCAAACCGGGTCCGTGCGCCAGCCGCTCTCTGGCCTTTGGGATATGACTGGAGTTTGATGACGGCTGACGCGCACCGCCTTCGCCGTCGCCAGGGCAGCTACGTGGTGCACATCTTCCCGCCGTGCGACTTCGCCAACGAGAACATGGCGCGCATCGCGCCCGACCTGCTGAGCGCCGTGGCCGAGGTGCCGCACCTGGTCATCGTTATCGCCACCTGCTGAGCCGGCGCGTCGCCCGGCCGGCCTCCGCGCGCGCGCGTTCGCGCCGGCGCGGTCCGGCCCCCGCCTCGTACGCTTAAATGATGACTGTCCACGGCCTACGTTGTTACATGTGTAGATTGTTATTAGTAGTGGAATCATGGCTTGGATTGATTTGGTCCCCTGCCGTTTTGTCTGTGTCGGATATATCTCGCCATGTACAAATTTGATCCTGCGCCCGTGTATATACTGTATATAGCTGTATATAGAGATATCTCATCATCACACACAGACACACCCCTTTTTACGCTTTTGATTGACTTGAACTTGCAGCAGTTCACCGATTTGTCTAGATCCATCTTTAGGATCGCGTGTTTATCGGCTGGCCGGACAGACCGAGGCTCTTGCAGTCCAAGGAGTCTGTTGTTCCTCAACGTTCATCGCTCGTTCACAAGAATTCATGTTTCCAGTATTTTAGCTACTATTCAAGAGATCATTAAAAACGACTTGCATTGAAGGCCACTAAGGTCATTTGTCCGTCTGGTTTGCCGTTAAATTGGTCTTCATCGCGATCCTGAACTGTGAGTTGCTAATTGGATTTAGACGTTTCCTGTTCGTTTTGGGCAAACTTACCATTTGGAAAGCGGCCTCAGTATGAAGGTAGTTGTTGACAGTGGAGTTTGCTCAATGCCTGTGCTAAAATATTATATTTTCGATTCCCTAGTGTGTAAAGTGAGCCGTATATTTTTCTGTTGTAGCATCATGATTGTGTCTCGAGCGCGCGTGCGGAGTAGTTGGTCGGCGGCCGTGGAGATGTCGCCACATTGCTCCGGGCCGCCGCCCGCCCGCTCCGCGCCGCGCCCGAACTAACCGTTAGATGTCGGTGTGTGGCCGAGGCTGTGATCAGAGTAAAACTCCTGATTGTAATGTCTACAGAACGTTAAGTTATTTGATCATGGAAAATAAAATAAAAAATAAAAATATTCCGTTGTTTCAACTGCTGGGCGCCAGATGCGCGCGTTGCATTGCATCGCATGGCATTCACTGCCGGGTGTTACATTGATATGCGTCCCTCAGTCGGAGAGTCTGCCTCGTCTCTGATAGCGCGCGACGAGTCAACATTCGTCGCTGCAGCCAGCAACTCCCTTGACGTCCTGCGCTCCACAGGGGTTGCCGGTGCCCTGGTGTTCGGAGCCGGGCAGGGCAGCCATCCTTAATTGGAAGAAGGCATTAAACGTTTCATACAATCGTCTACTACGGATGATCGTAAACGCCTGATAACCATTTATTTAAGCAAACTCGAGCACGGGCGGGACGGGTCGTGCGCGCGTCTGAGCACTGTTAATGGAAAGGTGATGTGACTGGCGTCAGCCGTTGCACTCCATTACCCCGGGTATCGAAGCGTATATAGACGACGTCTGGAAAGTGCCTGTCCAGTCCTTTCCTTTGTGTAACTATCTGAGGCACCACTCACTAACGCAGTAGAGTGAGTGGCTAAGGGGCTGGGACGGATGCTGTGAGGACGTCTTCTGGGGTCATCCGATCCCAGGTCTTCGCGGCGCAAGGTTTAATGAGAGAGTCGCCTTGTAGACTTCGGTTCAAGCAACGACCACTCGTGTAATGCGAAATTTCCTATGAGAGAGGAGGGAGCGCCGCGCAACACACCGAATGTACACGAAGTTTAGGCACTGTCATAAATGAGATGCTAAGAAACCTCAGCGATCATTCACTAGAGCATCTGCTATCGGAATTCAACGTCATTTTGGTAACCGATACGTTTCCGGACCAGTGGAGGAATGCAATAGTCGTACCTTTTTCAAAAGCCTACAGAAATGGTACGGACGCCCTGCATTATCGACCCATCTCACTGACGGCCCGCGTTTCTAAGCTGTTTGAAAGATGATCAGTGCACAAGTTTTGTGTTTTTGAGCGGACTAATAACGTGTTCTCCGACTTGCAATGGGGTTGAGGTAAAATCGAAGCACTCTGGACCACTTAGTTGTCCTGGGCACAGCGATGCGAGAATCATTCAAACGCCATCGGCATGTTTTAGCTGTCTTCTTTGACGCATATAGGGCATTCGGCACCACCCTACATCATGGTGTTCTCGTTAAGTTGTGTGTATAGGGCGTGCGGGGCCACATGGGTCGATTTATGTCCAGATTCTTGCGTGATCACCATTTCCAGGCAACAGTGGGCAATGCCTTCTCTGACCGTTTTCCTGCAGTAGATGAAGTGCCTCAGGGAAGCATTCAAGTGTCCGATTTTTCGCCATTTCGGTGAGCGATGTCAGCGACGCACTGCCCACCAACGTTGGTCGTGCGCTGTTTGTTGGCCACCTCGCCATTTGGTTCTCTCCATCGTCATTGACCTCGGTTTCGCGGCAGATTCAGATCTGCCTAGATAAGTTGACGCACCGGTGTTTTATGAACGGTTTTACCCTTACACTTTCAAAAATCACGCAATACACTTCCAACAGACAGCGACATTGCGCAGATCTTCGCGTGAACGCTATGGGATAGTTTTAACTCCATCTGAGTAAAGTTCTGAAGCAACCGTTTTCGACAGAAGGCTGTCGGACACCACCTAGCTTCGAACGCTTAGAGATTGGTGTTCAAGAGCGCTGAACATCCCCATGGTCGATACGAGGATATTCCTCGGGGCAAACCGGAAGATGCCTCCCTGTCCGTATAAGGCGCTGATTCGCTCCAACTTAGAGTATGCATGTCAGGTGTGTCGAGTTGGCGTGTGATTCTGCAAAAATGCGCACTCGACACAGCGTACCATGACGACATACGCACTCTTACTGGGACACATCGCATCGGCCCTATCGCCAGGCTTCTGGTCGAGGCGAACAAACCACCATTGAGTCTATGTCGTGAGATGCTTAGCTCGCGCCATGCGCTTAAGGCTGCAGTCTAAAGCACATCCAGCCTATTAAAGCATCTTTTCAGACCACCCGACTGAGCTATTCAAGACAGACAAAACGACTACTGCTAAGCCCATTTGTGTCCGAGTCAGCTGAAGTCTGCAGGATGCGGGCATTAGTACAAGGATGTCAGCCCAGTTAAGCACCTCTGTGCCCACCATGGGAACTGCCGACACCTATCTCTGGTCTGTCCATCTGTGCGTTGGTGAAACTGCTGAGAAGCTTCAATATGAAGCTCTTTTTGGAGTGCGTACCGAGTGCCAGTCACATATACACATGTTCAGATGGGTCAGAGTCCTGAAAAGGTACAGCACGCGGTGTCGCTTATGAAGCTGCACGAAGCGTGTTGCATCATCCCATCACTATTCGACATTTACGACTGAACTACGTGCAATGAGCAAGGCGCTGGCTCATCCTTTTGTGGAAGGACGACGACAAGAGCGATTCTTAGTACTGTCCGACTTTTTGAGCAGTATTTTAGCTATCCAATATCTTTTCAGTTCATCACAAAATAGAAAAAAAGAAAACTGGCAATGGGTCATGTCAAAATAGACGAGATCTTGTAGCAGGTGGCGGCTGTTAAATGTGATGGAAAGTGCGTACGTGGTCTTTCCCTCGGTGTCCAGACACATCGGGCAGGCTGGAAACGAGAAAGCCGATGCTGCTGCCAAGGAGGGTGCAGCCGGCCCTCGACCTCGTTCCACTCGAGCGCCCTTCTCGGACGCGAGCCGACGCCGTCGTCTCGTCTGAGGGCAAGAGTGAGAGAGAGAGAGAAAACAAGAACTGACAGTTTTGGGACCAGTTTAGCGTGGACTCACAGGGCAACGCCGGAAATAAACTCCGCTCAGTTAGACACGGTTGGCGACTGGGCAATTCCTCTCACCAGGTCAGCAGAAGAGAGAAAGTCAGCACTTTGTCGCCTCCGTATCGGGCATGTCTATGGCACGCAAGGTTTTCTCCTGTCTGGAAACCAAGCGCCAACGTGTCCTCATTGCGATCGCCCGCTTTTGAAGTAAATTGGTTCTCGAATCATATTCTCACCAGTTTGATAGCCCTTGACGGTGACACTGGAAAACCCGATCTTAGAAGAATGGATTGCCTGCATGCGGTAATCATCATATGCAAATCGATGAAAACAGCTATGGGCTCAAAATGACCAGGACAGACGAAGCGCCTTTAAACACAAATATCATCGTAACGTGACCTTTAGCGTGGCCGACACCACTGGCCGCAAGCTGTCTTAGTCAGGGGCAAAAATCGGGCACCTAAGTGATCCCAACACATCCTGCTAGGCAGCGGCGGGTGGACTGGCAGGCATTCGCTCAAACCAACCGAGCTCTCAGAACGGAAAATTGCTGTCACAAAGGATGTTCCAACCTGCGCTCCCGTTCTGGCCCCATGCTCCAATACTAACATTGTTCGCGATATTGTGAATGACCGCGTGGCTGTCTAACTTTTCCACACCTGTCTTTCAGTTGCTACTAAGCTCACATAATTATCATCAGAAGATGCCCGCATTTTCAGCGACCTATTCATTACGCTGCATATCTCGTATCATTTTCCTCCCTGGTTCTCACTGGCTACGCCGGGCGACCCCTCCGCTTCCCCTGGTTACGCTGAGCTAAGTGTCACGTTTGAAAAGTACCGTCCGTTTCGTCTCTTATTGAACTAGAGGCGCAAGAATGTGGGTTCGTCCATTGCCATTCTACATCGGGCTTTAAGGTTTCACTTGTTTTGAGAGATTTAGCATTATTTGCAGCCACACCA